TGCAGTTTGTTAACGGTTCGGTGTAAACGATTTTTATACTGGTTCAAACAGTTTTGGGTTGGAAACGGTTTCGAGTTAGAAACGGTTCGGTTCTTTTTCGGTTCAGTTTTATTTTGGTTCGGGTTGTTAACAGGTTTGCCTTTTATACGATTTAACTTTATTCGGATCAGTTCCATTTCACGTTTACTAAATAATGGTTCGGAACGGTTTTTTATTTCAAAAAGTCGGTTTTTAATCGGGTCGTTTGGATTCGGGCAGTTAAACGGTTTTGGTTTGAAGTTTCATAGTACTTGCTAACCTTTTGCTGGTTAACAAGTTTTATATCAAGCCGAAACTTCATCACTTCATATTTAGGCATTAGGCATTATATTATATACAAATTCTCATCGATGTCAAAAATACATATCATGTTATTTCAAGTTTAGTCATTCTGATCTTATTAGTTTATTACGAAATAACGTAGATTATAAAAGTTCAGTGTATTAATGAATTATTATTGTTTTACTATCACATTATTAGCTGCTTCTTATTCAATCAACTAATTGATGTGTCGTAATCATGATTTGATGAGTTATTGTGACGTCGAAATTACAGTTTGATTTATAGACGATTCGGTTTGTAAGTGGTTCGATTTATAAATGGTTTGGTGCAAACGGGTTGCAGTTTGTTAACGGTTCGGTGTAAACGGTTTTTACCTCGGTTCAAACGGTTTCGGGTTAGAAGCGGTTCGGTTCTTTTTCGGTTTGGTTTGATTTCGGAATTGGTTCGGTTTGTTAACGGGTCCGGTTCTTATACGGTTTGACATTATTCGGATCGGTTCGGTTTCGGGTTTACTTAAATACGGTTCGGGTCGGTTTTTGGTTTTACAAAATCGGTTTTTAATCGGTTCGTTTCTCATTTGGGTCGGTCGGTTTCGGACAGTTAAACGGTTTCGATTTGAAATTTGACAGCACTACAAATAGGGGAAAGAAATAGGGATATGACCCCCTAACATTCACCTGACTTTTGTGTAATTGCAATATTTGCTTATTAATGCATTGTTTGTTTGAACAAAAATAAAAACATAAACAAAAATACCGACTTAATTGTAAATTGTGTATCTTCTTTTCCTTAAAAGATCATAATTTTAAGTATAGTAGTTTGATACTCTTTTCATTTTTATTTCATTGCAACACTTTTTTATAAACGAATTTTTATTTAAATCACAAATTTACAACCGTTTCTTAAATGAAAAAACGAGTACTATTGACCAAAAAAAAAAAAGAAAAAACTATTGACAAATTTATTATATAATGGTTAATGAAAGAGGTGACAAGGAGGTATCTATATCACGTTAACCTAATAAGTACAATGTTAAGCCCAACACGCCTCAAACACCACAATCACTCATCGGTTCCAAAGGCGGATACAGGTTGGGTTTAAGTAGGTTCCTTGAACCCACTGAATTTTTGAAAAAAAATTAGAAGTTTTTTTTTTATTTAAAAAAAAATAAAGAAAAAAAGGGTTAAATAGAATATCTTTCCATTAAATAACAACAATATAATGTGCAGCCTAGTGGTGTTTCCCTTGCGCGTCTTTCCTTCCCCTACTTACAAAGGAGACACGAGTTCGAACCCTCCCACCACCTTCCTCGATTTCTCTACGCCTCCACGCTCCACCCCACCGCGGCACGCCGACGACCGACCACTCAGTCACTCACGACTGCTCCTCCACAGCCCAGCGACTCAGTGAGTAACGGAGTAAGCCAGTAAGGTACTCTACAATTCTTTTTTTTTAGGGATCCTACAATTCTATATAGTTTAATACTTAAATGTTAATTCTTTTAATTAGATTGTAAATTTGTAGTGTTTATAATTGATTTATTGATCGAAATATTAAATACTTAGATTGTTGGGGTTTATAATTGATAAATTGATGATTATTGTAAAATATGGAGTTGCTTATTTGTATATCATGCTTAATAATAGATTTGATGAGGAAAATATGGAGTTGCTTATTTGTATATCATGCTTAAATCCGGTTAATTCATTTGCGGCATTTGATAAGCAAAAGTTGATGAGACTTGTTGAGCTATATCCCAATGAATTTCCAACAAATGATATGACAATGACTGCACTTCGCCATGAACTTGGATTTTTTATTGATGATATGCGCAAAGATGCAAGGTTTGGAGACTTGAAGGATATTAATGAGCTTTCTATGATGCTTGTTGAAACAAATAAGCATAATTCTTACAAATTGGTTTACCTGCTTGTACGGCTAGCATTGATCCTTCCGGTGGTGATGGCAAGTGTGGAACGAGTGTTTTCATCAATGACTTATGTAAAAAATAAGTTGCGGAATAGTATGGGCAATCAATTATTGAATGATAGTTTAGTCACTTTCTTAAGAGAGACTTATTTGCTAGAGTTAGTGATGATGATGTATTGATAGCAAGTTAATTGACACATGTCGGCACCTAATTAGTCCAAAAATTTAAATTAAAAAAAGTAAAAAAAACATTAATTAATTTATAAACCACAACTAGCCAAACCACCTTCTCTGCCACCGATCCCGCGCGCCCCGATAATCCTAGCCACGTACCGATCTCACGCCCCGACCTCCCCTGCCACGCGTCGATCGCCCTTGACAAATCCGACCACCTTTGACAAATCCGACCACCTCCATCACCTCCACCCCCTTATTCATGCTCGCTGACCTCCTCTAACCCCGTCCCCCAATTTCAGTTTCACCGACATCCCCCATCACCCTCCGGCCGCGCTGACCTCCCCGTCTCTCTCCGTCCGCGTCGACCTCCCCCGTCCCCTAGCCTGATTCCAGCCTCTTCGAACTCATCCCCTGCCCCGATTCCGCGTCGAGCCTAATTTCGAAATTGGTTTGGTGGTTTTCGAAGGGTCTTGAGTTAATGGGTTAATGGGTTTTGGAGTTGGGTCGGCTAGGTCACCTGGGTGGGATCCTCGTCAGCGCTGCGGCGGTGGTTTTCGATCTGGGTAGGATGGTGGTTCAATTCTAGGGTTAGGGTTTGGGTTTGGGTGGTGGTGGGGATGGTGGGGCTTAGGTGGTGCAGGTTTTATTTATTTATTTTTTTTATCTACTTTTTTTTTTTTTTTTTTTTTTTTTTTTTTTTTTTTTTTTTTTTAATTTTGACCAATCAAGTAGCTGCATGTGTCAATTAATTTTTTTTTTAAAAAAATTACCTATACAACCGGTTCCAGGTAAAATGGGATCATTAAAAAAGAAGGGGGGGGGTTAAAGGTGGGATTATTTAAAAATAATCCATAGGTGGGATTATTTTTAGCGGACGGCTTAAAGGTGGGATTATTCCGGGCAATTTTTCCTTAGGATTTTAAAACTTTGGATAGATAAGTTTTGTTAAGTCTTGATACAATTACCTCCCTTTCATTAGCTAAATTCTCTCTTAAGCTTAGACTTCTCTCTTGTTTCTCTCTCTACAACTCTTGGCTTTTATACAATTCATTGTTTCCGTTAATTTTAGTAACGATTTCTTCCGTTTTATTTTCAGTAATTTATTTGCTTTTGTTCATCATGTTTTATTTAATTGCTTTGATTAGTATAGATTTAATTATATGTGAGTAGATTATTTTCTAGAGTTGTGGGGATCCATAAATAATATGAAGGGGTAGTTTATTATTGTTGATTGTCAATGCTTGATTAATTTCATATTGATGGAAAAAGTACAATTGGGGCTAGGGATGGCAATGGGTCCTGGACCTGACACAGACTCGGTTGGACCCGATCCATATTTTAGGGTCTTGGTCCTTAATTTTTAGACCCAATTGGTCTGGGTCGGATCTGGGTCTAATCTTAATGGGTCGAGTTTGGATCCAAAAATTGTAGGCCCAGATTTGACCCATGGATCTATTTTTAATTTTTTATTTATTTTTATAAATAATAAATATATATTAGTTATAATATTATTAAAAAAAATCACTTAATATACTACATAATTAGAGGTTGAGAAGATAAATTTTAGTGAAAGTGAGCAAATAAAACAACAAGCAACCAAGAAATTAAGTTTTTGCATAGTATGATTTTTTTTCTTGCATTGTCTTTATTTTTTAATGAACAAATTATTCTTTTTTAAAAAAGGTAATTTTTTTTATTAATCACCAATAAAAGATACAAACATTACAAAGTTCCCTACTCAAAGGGAACACATAAACAGCCCAAAGACCCACTACACCCATACAACCCAAAAAACAGAAACACAACAAGTAGCAACAACTATTCAATAAGAATCTTAACCTATTTTCTATTCTTCATACTAGTCTTCAAAGGCAAAATCTGCATCAATCTTCTCTAAATATCACGGAGCATGTTTTGCACCACTCTCTGAGGATCCCGCAGACACTTATCCCAAAGAGACTTGTTCCTTTGCTGCCAAATGACATACAATAACCCATCATAACAACCCCGAGTTACTCTTCTCTTGAACTTGCCTGAAACCTTCAAAAGCTTCTCATTACAGTCTTCTAAAGAAGTTGGATTTTGCATCCCCAACTTTCTGCCAATAATACTACAATAGGCATTACTATACTAACATTCAAAGCATAGATGATCCACAATATCATCATGCTCAAAACATAAAGCGCACTCGGTCTCAGTATCAATCCCAATGAACACATTATTAGTGTGTAAAAAATATGAACACATTTTTTTTAATGCATCCTTTATTATTTTGAAGTAGTAGTATAATTATAAATTTATAATGTATATATGTACAAAATTATAAAAAAAATATAAAAAATTATAAAAAATTAATAAAAATCATAGTTAGACCCGTTTTGGACCTGTTTTAGTCCCGAGACCCGCTAGACCCGATGGATCTGGGTCTGGGTCTGATTTTTTTAAACCCAGTAGGTCTGGGTTGAATCTGTGTTCACCTCCGAAATTCCGGGTCTGGGTCTTAGTGTACCCGACCTAGACTTGACCCATTGCCATCCCTAGCTGGGGCCCAAGAGTTCACACCTTTACCTTCCTTAATCATCACCCTCTTCCATGCTCTCATTAATGATTCTATCAAAGAACGCCATTTCCTTGCCATGCTCACCTATCTTTTCCTTAGTCAACAAAACACACTCAAGTGGATCATTAGGTTTGAGCAAGTGCTCATGCATGGAATTCATAATATTATCTAAGATTTCAACTCTCATGCAATTTTCAAGTGAAGAAGAAAGATATTTCATGCTTTCATTCAAATCAAATTCAATATCCTCTTCTCCAACTTTGAAGGAAGTCTTGGCAGTTTTAACATCAATCATGGCACCTGAGGTAGCAAAAAAAGGTCTACCAAATATGATAAGAATATTAAAATCCTCATCCATCTCAAGAACCACAAAATCAATCGGAATCACAAACTTTCCTACCCTCAAAGGAACATCCTCTACCTTACCTTTTGGAAACTTAATTGATCTATCGATTAATTGCAAGGTAATGTTGGTAGGAAAAAGTTTCCCTAACTCAAGTCTTTGGTTAACCGAATATAGCATAAGGCTAACACTAACTCCTAAGTCACACAAGGAATTATCAATAAGCATCTTATAGATAGCACAAGGTATAGAAACGTTTTCGGGGTCCTTCAACTTAGGCGGCATTTTGTTGATTGCACTGCAATTCTCTGTCAAGCTAACTGTTTCTGCCACATCACAAGTTCTTTTTCCAATAAAGATGTCCTTAAGGAATTTTGCATAAGGCATTTGGTCAATGACATCAGTAAAGGAAGGGTAAGATAAAGTTGCCTAAGAATCTCTATGAATTTGCAAAATTTTTCATCAAATTTGTGCCTCATGAACTATTGGGGATATGGAAGCTTGGGTTTGAAAACTTCTCTTTCTTTCCCTTTTTCTTTTTCAATTGGTTTCTCACCTACATCCTCATTCAAAGGGATTTTTCCTTCCTCATCCTCAACCAAAACCTCCTTAGGACTCTCCTTAGCCTCACTCTTCCCAGGCTCACCATTCTCAAGAATCCTACCACTCCGTGTCACATGGAATTTATCCGTCTCTTATGATATAAACCTTGAGATGGTAGAGAAGAAGGGCTTGCAAGCTCTTTCAAAACATTGGCTAATTGAGAAATTTGATTCTCCAACATTTTATTTTGAGCCATCATGTCATTAAACTTCTTGTCACTAGACGACATGTAAGTGTTCAACACCTTGATTTGATTTTCAATGATATCCTCTAAACTACCTCTAGAAGAAGAAGGTTGAGAATAGGAGCTATCAATTTAGCCTTGAGCCTTTGGAGTGAAACTGGGTGGGGAATCTCTTTGATTGTTGTTTTGAAAATTGCCCTGATCTTGGTTACTCCAATTGCCCCGGCCTTGATTTTGGCCATAATTTTGATTGTGGTTACCATAATTTTGATTATGGTTCCCATATCCTTGGCCTTGGTTTTGACCACCATAACCTTAATGGTTATAGTTACCCCAAAAACCTTGGTTTCCTTGGTTCCTATAACCCCCATTGTAGTTATAATTATCAAAATTCCCATTATGATGATAGTTAATATTCCAATGATTCCTTTGACTATCAAATTTAGGTCCAACATTGTTATTAGACACATAATTCACATGTTCATCTTCATTTCTAACATAGTCATCACATCCATCAAAATAAGCATTAGGACAATTAGAAGCATCATGATCTTATAAATCACATATATAACATTACATACACTCCCTCTGTCCCTAATTGTTTTCTCCACTTTCCTTTTTAAGGTGTCCCCAAAAGATTTCCCCATACTACTTTTGGCATGTTTTCCCACTTGCACTCTCTCTATCTCTCTCCTCATTGATATTTGTGTCAACCCATGTGCACCATTTTTTTCCCAAAGCCTTAATAAAGTAAATTTATAGTTTGGGGCAAACAATTGGGGACAGAGGGAGTAGCTACTAGAGATGTCGCTAAAAGAGGGAAGGGGATTAGAGTTAGGAATGTACCTCTTCTCTTATTTTGGGAGGGAAGAATAGGTGCTTGAGATGAAGCACTCTCAAGTTTGATTTTGATGGAGGTAATGTTGGGTTTCGATGAATCTAACTCACCGCAGAAAATAAAAACCCAGCTCAAGGAAAAACTCACAATTAATATAACAAAATGCATAAATAATAAGATTAGATAAAATATTAAATTACCCTTGTAGCGTGCTTCTCTCAACCGGATGGAAATCCTACTTGAGAAATCCAAGTCTCACAAAGGGCGATGACCTTCGATGGAGTCCACCCACAACACTACCCGACTGGTATACTACTTGGAGGTTAGCCAATTCCAACCAAAAGACTACCCGAGTAATTAATAAGCTTATAGGTTTTCTCTCGAGTGGAGATGCCTAATTAAGCCCTTACTCAAGTGAGTTTTCCTAATTCCCAAGTGGGATATTTATAGGGAAACTCAAGTGAGAAATCCACTCTCCTATCAATGTGGGAAAGTTGGTAAAATCAATTTTCTCCTTTTATTTTTAAATCAAAACAAAAGAAAATAGCCAACAACTAATTAATCAACAAGTGGCATTCTAAGAGGAGGGGTTAGGTAAGGACCACAAGGGAAAGAGGGAGACTAATACTTGATCCCCAAGCTTCCCAAAAACCGTCTCCCTAGTGCCATGTGCCCTAAAGGGCTACTTCCATGTGGCAGGCTGAGCCTAGGCACCGAAGCAGCCCAGCTGGCGCTTGGTGTGCGTGGCTGGCCTGTTGCTGTGTGCGGTTGGCCGTAGCGCTAAGCGCGCATGGCTACTAGTAGTGATAGCGCGCTACTAGCCAGCTAGCACTGCTAGCCTATTGATGCGGCTGCCCCGCACATGCTAGAATAGATGCTAGCATAGCTTGCTAACCATGTGCTGGCAGCCATGATAGCGATGGTGCGCTAGCATGCTGCAGCACCTAGCCAGCCATGCTAGGCTCGGCTTGGTGCGCATGGTAGCCACCTTGCTATACCAAATGCCCCTAGCACTCGAGTTTCTCGGGGCATTCCGATGCTAGGGGTATTTCGATAAATTGTTGATTAATTAGTGATTTTACCGTCTCGTCTTTTAATAATTCGACTCGACTTGTGACGCTCGGTTTTGACGCTCCTAGCTCGATTTCTGACGTCTAAATATTTATTATTCAAGCGACTCATTAATTCCTTTTGAATTAATTTGTCGTGTCGGATTGTTAGTTGCTTGGGTGTGACCCAAGGGGCTCAGTCAAGATTAAGCTGTAATAATAGTTTATATATTAATATTACTGTATCGAAAGCGGCCTCCACCTTGGCATTCTGATCACTTGAAGTTATTGAATAAATAGTTTTCCAATAGCTCTGAACCCTCTATTGGAACAATATACTTGTTCAAAGGACACCATTCCTTTCAGGTCATTTCCTTCCCTAATTCCGAGATTTGTGAGGACAAGTTATTAATGGCATTGATGTGATCGACTGAGTACACCGAAGTACCGCTCTTGCTTGTTGCTTCGTGCTCACCATTGTCAATCCATATAATGCCTCACCACATCTTTAATGATATCCACCACTTCCTCTACCGTGTTATTCATTATTGGTCCTCTGGCTCCCGCATCAAGGCAAGATTTTCCTTAAGGACTTAGACCGCCATAGAATATTTGGATGACTTGATAGGTAAGTATCCCATGGTGTGGGAACTCTATTTGATACTCCTTGTACCTTTCCCATGCCTTATAAATTCTTTCATTCGATTTTTGGGAATAGAACCGAGATAAAAAATCTTTTGTCACCTCATCCCATGTCCTCAAGGAGTTTGGTTTCACCACCTTGTCCAACCACTCCAATGCACGTCTAATGAGAGAAAAAAGGGAAAAGATTAAGGCGAATAAATTCTTGAGAAACCCCACTCACTTTGATAGTGTTGCAATACTTCTCAAATTGCTTAATATGATTAAGAGGACTCTCATGCTTTGCACCACTAAATTGTCGCCTTTCTATCAAGGTAATCATTGCCGGTCTAATTTCAAAGTCGTTTGCCAGTGTCGTAGATAGAGTGATCCCGCCCTCATACCTATAGGCTCCAGAACTCCCAACTCCTTTAATTCTACTCTTTGATTATCTCCCATGATAAATTTCTTTTTTTCTTACCTTGGAGAACGTTTAAAAACTCTCAACTTTGTGATGTCCTTTCAATTTCCAAATCGAACGACAATAAAGAATGAACACTAGATCTACGCATACAATATCAAAGAAAATATTTGTAGCACGACTACAAATGTAGCCTAAAAGAAAGAAAATCTTTTTGTATTTTTCAAGTAAGAAGAAATAGACTCAACAACTATAACAAATAACCATGCCATTCCCCGGCAATGACGCCATTTTGACGACGGGAAAGGCTAGGTTGTTGGTATAACTAATATTCCTATAGCCAAACAAAATTTGTAATCACTTAACACACTTAAATACAAGTATAGAGGTCAGTCAAGGGTCTAACCCAAAGAAATGGAGGTAAATGTTAAAGTCTTAGGTCAAGCTACTTCGGAAATGAGGGGAAAAGGCTTGGTCAAAACTAGAATCAACCAACATGAGAAATCTAAAACAAATATTTATATCACAAACACTAGAGAATTAGGATCCACATACACACTCAATAGACGTACATGCTAATTGGATAGGAGATTGATTAATCAAATGTTGCAAAGAAAATAGTAATTGCAATCAAAAGCACTCGAAAAGCTATTTCATAGGCATCAAACTAGTAGTCTCTAGGAATGACTAGTTAGGAACATCACAAATGAAATAATCGATAAATGTGACCTCCAAATCAATGTGTCGTGTCATTAGAGAATCACAATGCACTCCAGGATGAAGAACAAGAGGTTGATCACTTCTTACAAATCAAGCACATGCACAATTCTATCAACTAAATTTAATCATAGCATCAAATCAATCAAAATCCACCAATTAGCTATTATCTATCATTTATGCATGCTTCACCACATCCCTAGCAATGAAACTACTCACTACACATTGAAGAAATGAAGAACAAAACATAAGAAATCACAATGATTATCATCTTCAATATAAATCAAATAGAAATTCCAAACAATTACACAATCAAATTTGATTTCAAACTAATCAAAAAATCCAACATAAATCTAAAGAAAACAAGTAATAAAAATGAATTAAAGGATGAAATTCTCAATAATTGTCATTGATTGAAGGAAAATCCACACCAAATTGTAGCAATTGTTAAAGAACAAATCCAATCCAAGACTTTCTCTCTCTAGAATCTAAGAGCTAAAGTTTCCCCAAATTAAACTTCTCTCTCTAAAAATCTAATTCTATTCATTTCTAATACAATTCTCTCTCTAAAATAAGAAGAAAATCTATATGTAGTAAAACTAACTAAGGAGAAGTTAGTTAGACGTCCAAGAAGAACTCGTACAAGCGTGTCCTCACCACGGATAGCGCGGCCACGAAGATAAGGGTACGGAACGGGGAGCAAGAGATGCGCGCCTACGCCAAGAACATGCGCATAGAACTCATAGCCATCTACTGCTGATTTTTATTGTTCACGAAACTCATATGTGTAATATCCTGGAAATTCCCTTATTTTATATTACCCTTTTTATTTTAATTAAAACTATTTTAAGGAAATAACCAAAATATTACCGCCACCGTGATAACGGCTAAAACTATTTTTCAAAGTCACATAGCGGAAGTCTAAAATAGAAACCAACTTTTAAAATGAAACTT